CACACACACACACACACACACACACACACACACACACACACACACACACACAGAGACAGAGTAGGGTTTAGAAATAAATTTCACTCAACAGGGATACAGAAAGGAAAGGGGAAGGGGAAATAAGAAAGAATGATTAGTTCTAAGGAAAAAAGCAAACTCTTCTTTCTGTAGTGGCAAAAAATTAGAAACTGAAGGAGTACCCATAAATTGAGGACTGGACAAGTTATGGTATATAAATGTGATAAATTCCACTGTAAGAAGAATTATTCACTGTACTGTAAGAAATTATGAAGGGAGTGATTTCAGAGAAACCTGGGAAGACTTGTATGCACCAATATAGACTGAAGTGAGCAGAACCAGGAAAACCATTTATATGACAACATTAAAAAGACAAACAACTTTGAAAGACTCAGTAAATCTTATCAGCATGACCAACCATGATTCCAGAAATTCATCATGAAACCTTTTACCCATCTCCTGATAGAAACATGAAAGACTCAGAGTACAGGAGACTTTTTTTGGGTCATGACCAATGCAAGGATTTGTTTGGCTTGAATATAAATGTTTCTAACAGGGGGTTTGTTTTTCTTTCCTTTTCAATTGGGGATGGGAGTGAAAGAAAGGAGTTTTCACTGATTGAAAAATAAAAATAAAAGAATACCTCTCAAACTCTAAGCAATCTCTTCATTCCCTAAGCATTCCCTCACGTCCATTTTTTCCCTACCTTTCAAACCACAACAAGCTTATAATAAATAAAGGCTTGTTCTTCCCTACATCTCCCAGGGAAAGAATGATATAATACGATTTAATAAACATTTATTAAGTGCCTACTACGTGCCAAGCACTGTGTTAAAGTACTAGGGATACAAATAAGAAGAAAGACGCTAGAAACAATAAGTGAAAATAGGTCACAAGTGCCTTCAGGTGTTTGAGAGTTGACAAATGGAGTATGTATTAACAGCATGTCCTAAAGTTATCACTTGGCCATAATGTACAACTAAAACAAAACTAGGATTTCTCAATAGGATTGACTACAGTAAGAATCTACTGCATTATTTTACATTATAAAATCAAGTGTTACATTTCAGAGCTATCATTAACATGAGGAATTTAATATAATAATCGATTAAAGGCAGCATAAGCATAGTGAACACAGAGTGAGTCCCAACCTACCTCTGATGAATTTTGGATTTATTAATTTAACCTCTCAGTGTCCCAGACAACAAGGTGCTGCCCAGTATTACCAGGAGTTTCTTTAGCAATTATACATTTTAACCCAATATTTTAAAAAATTCCTTCATTTGTTCAAAATATGTACAGTACAAAAAATCAGTTATGATATTGGGTTTTTTAAGAAATTTCCAAGATAAAATAACTTAAAATATCAAAATTTAAAAAACACCATTGTCAGAGCAGCTAGGTGGTGCAGTGGAAAAAGTTCCGGTCCTGGAGTCAAGAGGACCTGAGTTCAAATCCAGCCTCAGACACTTACTAGTTGTGTGACACTGGGCAAATCACTTAGCCCTGATTGCCTCACCCCCCAAAGAAAAAAAAAAAAAGGAAAGAAAGAAAAAAAAGCCATTGTCCTAATTACTTGGGAATCATTTGGAAAAGCTGAGAGCATAAGGTAATGTGATGTTGTTGGCCTCAGAGTCAGGGAGGCCTCAATCTGAATTTTTGCAAGTATAATGATATATTAAACACCAGGTGTACAGTCATCTTCTAACTTTTTTACTTTCTAATAAATCATAAAGCTGAACACTTTTTCCTGTGTTTTATCTGCAGTTCAGTTTAGGTTTTTACCAGTGCCATTAAATAAAGTCACATAAAAAACTTACCTTCCCTCCAGACTGTTTTTTAGCACTTTCATACAATTCATCAATGTGTGAGGTAAATGACATAAAGTCTGGAATGACAAACTTTCTCCTGAAGGCCTGTGTAAGCAGCACAATGTTGCTTTGAACACATCTGAGGAACAGGAGAAAAAAAAATCGTAATGCTATGCTCCTACTAGAACATTAATAAAAATATAGTACTTTAACACATATTCTTTCATGCACTTTGTCATTTCATGTACTCACATGAAAAAACAAATTTTAAATAAAGTTTAAATAGTAAAGATTGAGAACTATACGTGAAAAAAAAAATGGCAATATATTCAAAACTTTGGATCTTATACTTGATTATTCTAAAAATCATTGACATTTCACAAAATCTAGAAAAATTATGTATTCCCAACATAAACAGACTTGTGGCTTGAATGAGGTTAATATTCCACTAAACCTCAAATTTAAAATGTCTGGAAAAACCTCAATTTCTAAGCAAGAAAAGATAAAATTACAATGCAAGATAAAAACTTATGGATCAAGTTTTTAAAAAGGATTTATTTTAACTTTGCTAAAATGCTTGGTAGAAAAATTCAGTAATGATTTAAAAAACAAGGTAAAGTTCAGAAGTATAATAGAATAGGGAGTATAACTTTTAATTAGCATAAAGACAACATGTTCACATAAACTTTCAAAAAAGTTTTATAAATAGGTCACAGTAGGTTATGCATATCCTCTGCTCATTTTCTCACCATTACTCCTTGCACTCAGTACCAAAGTCAATTTGTTAGTAACGGATGCCAAAAGTTAGCGAAGAGGTGGCATACAGCAACTGCTCTTCCTCTTCCCTATCCTTCTGATAAAAACAACTATTTAGAGATAAAGGTCAACCAAAAAACAAACATTTCCTAGTCTTAAAGAGTGGTAACAGTTAATCACTTAGGCACCTGCATGCATCACATATTATAAAAATTGCAATTTGGCTTTTTACCATTACCAAACACTAGATTTTACATTCAAAAGCTAAGAAATATTTTCTTTCTTTTTAATTAAATCTGAGTTGAGAAATTATTTGAGAATTGAAAAAAAAAAAACATCTTTTTCCAGATTTAAAGATTTAGTTAACCCAACATTTTAGGTTCACATTGACCTAGATCAAGTCCATTTGAATTTTACTAAATTTTTTCTATTTTTAATTTAAGAAGTAAAATTTACATTTACATTCTTATCATTTTACTAGAATAATACAAACCTCTAAGGTTTGATGTTTTAGGGATTAGGATGTCCCAATATAGCACAACAATGCTACTCTCCCAAACATCCTAAATTTGACCTATCTCCTAATAGTTCAAAATATTTCTTTCAATTACATCTAGTTAATAAACTTTTCACTTGTTGCAAAATCAATGAGGAAAGAATGTCAAATAACTGCATTAACTTTAAAATATTAACTTCTTTCAAAAATGAAATTTACATTTCCTTCATGATATAAACTATAAAATCTACCCTACTTTATTTTTCAAGTGATACTACAAATCATTTTCTACATAAAATTATACTGTTGATCTACTTGGTACTTTTAAATGAATCAGTTTGGTTGGGGGGTAGGGGAAGAGTTAATAACCAACATTCTTAAATAGCCAAACTTGTTTTTTTTCTTCTAATAAGATGCTAGCTTGGTAAATGCTAGATAATCAAGCCTAAGAAAAAACTTTAACCTCATATAAGAATACCCTGTATTAAACAGGGCTACATATACTTAGCATGTTAAATTATTTTTATCTTATTTTCATGAAGTCCTACTCTACACAAGAAATGACATGTTAACTCTTTCCTATTCTCAAAACTCTGATCAAAAGAGCTCTATTGCCATAAAATTAAAATGGAAAATAGTACATAGTACAAGACTGGTAAATAACTTATCTCTGAGAAGGATTAAATATGACATTAAGCTAACAGTCAATATATCTGCAATTTCCAGTTCTCCAGCTAGATGTGACTCTGGGCACAGTTTTCTTATCCTTAAAATGGGAAAAATCAGCCTTTTCCCCATCCATGCACAAGAGCACTGTGAGAATTAAATACATGTTTTAAAGTCGAATTACATTACTCAAGTTCCTCAGAAGCCACAGTATGTTGAAAAAAGTGCTACACATATGTAAAGCATATTTATGGCACTCAGACCAAGAAAAAAAATTCTGCCCAAGTCAACCACCTGCACAAAGCAGTTTTGGGGCCTCAAAATTCCAAGTGCCACTCATAAGAATAGGTTTCACAAACTACCCTTTAGAATCAGTTTCCACATACGGGACAAGATTGTTTTCCAAATCACATTAACAAAATAGAGAAATCTCCAGACTCTACACGACTACCCCGAGCACACCATTCCTAGCAAACTCTATATGATTTTAATTCAGTGTAATTACTCACAAATCAGTTATTCAACAATGAGTATTTATTAAGCACCTACGACGTGCCACAAACTGTGCTAAGTAATGGAGATACAAAGAGGTAAAAAACAGTCCCTGACTAAATGGTTTAAGATTATCCCACACAGTAACCAGAACTCATCTGAAAACATGAGATTCCATGAATAAACCAAAGATGACCAATGATTTTGTTAGCAGATTCCTTAGGCTTTACCAAGATACTGATAGACTTTCAGGGAAGACAGTTTATAATCATTCACAAATAGTTTTCAGTAGCTCTCAAGAAATGATAGATCGCCATCAAACCTTTCATACTTTCTGTATCTTCCATAACACTTTCGTGCCTTTTAAGGAATATATCATCCAGTAAGTAATTTCACATCAAAACTAAACTAAAAACATGTTAGTGGAAGTTAAAATTGGGAATAACCTAAAGGTACAAAGATATATTATGACAATCAAACATTCATACAAACTAATCAGACTTAAAGTATGTAATTTTAAAAAATAAAATAAAACGATACTTTCATTACAACATAACTAACTTCACATGCTCAGCTCAGATAATCAGGAGTAGGCACAACAAATACGTATAAAAATGGGTCCTTCCTGAAATCTGGCTATTACTATGGGGCAAGATTATAAGGATAAAAAGATATCATACAACTAAACCAATCTGGGTAGTGGGGACAGGATGAAATTTTTTTTTTATTTTCAAGTGATACCACAAATCATTTTCTACATAAAACTAAACTAAATTAAGACTATTATATGCTCTAAATCAATTCACTTTCCAAGTACCATAAATGTAATTTTTTATGCTGTTGTCATTTGCTATTTCTTTAAATGAGATTTCATATCTACTTTTTTAATTACACAAAAGCATCAATCTTCAAAAAAGATACAATTAAAAAACAATTTTATATAGTTAATTATATGTAAGCACAATAAATTGCTCATTAAAGTTTTGACCAAATTTTTACTTTTTAAAAAGATCTTTGTCTAGCATGACACCATCTGATGTTGTCTGAAGAGTTAATCTCAACATATCCATACACTCTTTCAACCTGGGATCAGAAGTTCGCAATCCTGTAGATTTCAGTGCCTATTTAAAAATTAAAAAAAGAATCTGTAAACATATAGCCTAGATAAATTGCACGTTCATTCTTATTACACATTTTTATTTCAATACACAAAAATGCCTTCATTTGATTAATTTTTTTTAAACAAAGAGTGTTAATTCATCATTACCAAATTTCTTTACAGTTTGTTATGGTTTGATTTTTGCTTTATTGGTTATTTGAAAAAGATAAGAAAATCATGAAAACAAAAATCTAATAAGAAACTGTCAGTATCCACATGTTGGCCATTAAAACATTTCAATTACATGAGCTAGGACTACCAATGAAGTACACAAGATGTATACAAGTATACAAAAGATGGGGAACAGACAACTTACAGTAATGAATTTATGAACTGGTATTTTTTCTTGCCCTTCTGCAATGGTATAGAACAGCAAATCCTCCAAGCTAGGTAGAAGACCCTGTTTGATTTTACTGGAAAAAAAAAGGGGAGGGGAGTAAGAATTAATATTGTGCAAAGTTTGCCAGATAGATTAACACCAAAAACTAGATTTGGGCCATGTTCATACAAGTCACTGTAAAACAACCTATATATCAGCTATTCATCATGGATATCTTTATAAAGAACAATAACCAAAAATCAAATCAGTAATAAAAAAATCAGACCACAAACACTAAAAACGAGCTACATCCTCCATACCATTAATGTGCATGTGATTTTCAATTAGTGTACAATGTGATGTTAATTTTTAAATTTGGATTTTTACTCTATTTTAACTCAACCATCTGCCCCAGATGAAAACTAAACCACAGAGTATGATAACACCATTTGTAAACCTATCAAGCAAATATTCACTTATGAATAAGCACCACATGCAGGTAGGCATTTCTAGAGATAACAAATAAAATGTTATTTTATCTATAAAGTTAACGCAAACATTTTGCAAGGCTTTGATAAGGTGGGAAATGGTAGCTGATTTGAACATAGAGTTGGGCCTAAAATTGAAGAAAGAAAAGGTTTGATCACCAACTACCTAGCAGACATTTCAAAATGGATATTCCAAACACATCTCAAACTCAGTATGTACAAAACAGAACTTATCTTTCTCCTCTTCCCCTGCTACCCCCGTCTAACCTCATCCCTCTCTTCAGAATATCCCTGTTTCTAACAATGGCATCAGTCAGTCAGTCAATATTTCTTAAGGACCTACTATGTACATGTTAGGCACTGTGCTAAGTGCTAGGGATACAAAGAAAGGTTAAAAGATAGTCTTCCCTTAGAAGATGGGATTTACTGAGACTTGAAGGAAGCCAGGGAAATCAAGAAGCAGCACTGAGGAAGGAGAACAACACAAGCATGAAGTACATTCAGTGAAAATGCCCAAAAGTCAGAAGATAAGAGTCTCTTATCCCAGAAATAACAAGGTGGCCAAGCGTCACTGGAGCAAGGAATACTAGCATTCTCCTGGTCTCCCAGGTTTCTAACATTGGTATTATCCTTGACTCTTCACTCTGTCTCACTCCATGTATTTTCAGTTGCCAGTCTTACCATTGTATTTCCATATCATCTCTGGCATCTGACTCCTCTCTACTCACATCTTTGTTCAGACCATCATTATCTCTTGTATAGACTATTCCAAGAGCCTTCTCATTCATCTCCTGGCCATAAGCCTTCCCCCACTTTCAATTCACTCTGCCCCCATCTGCAGAAGTAATTTTTCTTAAGTGCAAATCTAACCATGTAGTAGGAGAAACGCCCTACTCAAACTCAGTGGCTATAGGATCAAATATAAACAAACTCCTGTTCTCTATTTTGTTTGTTGGGGGTGGGGGGAGGGAGGGGAGGGGGTTTTAAGAATGAAAGTGAGAAGGGCAGAATTTCCCTATGTTGTCTAGGTTGTAAGTGCAGCAGTCACTCAAAAGATCTACTAGTGACTGGTACAGACACTTACCCTAGCTGTTTCTGACCCTGGCACGTTCACCTTTCCCTAGACAGCCTAGTGGCCCCATGATCCCAGAAGCTCATGATTTTGATATTGGACTAGTGCAGACACCCAACGGGCTTTAGCATACTGCATCTCAGAACTATCAAGCTCAAGAGATCCACCAGCATCAGCCTCCCCAGAAGCAGGGATTGCACATGTGCCCCACCACAACCAGTCATCTGTTTTAACTTTTCGAGTTCCTCACTACCTAGCCCCACGTTAATTTTTTAGTACTCTCATATAGTACTCTTCCTACTACACTCTAGTATCCAACCAAATCGGTCTTTTCTCTATTCTTCACAAAAATTTCATCTCCTTTATCCCTGCCTTTGCACTGGACAACCCACATACTTAAAAGTGCACCTCCCTCTCACCTCTACCTCAAAAATCCCCTCCACACACACACTTCAAGGCAGCAAAAGTACCACCTCCTACATGAAGCCTTTCCTGATGCCCCTAAAAGCTAGTTCCGTCCCCAATTACACGGCATATAACTGTTTAACTACATAATAACAACATATCTATTGTCTTTACATTTATTCTGTTTATACTCCACTAATAAAATGCAAACTCCTCAAGAACACAAATCATTTTATTCTTTATATTAGTATTCCCAGCACCTAGCACAGTGCCTGTCACACACAGTATATGTTTAATAAATACCTGTTGATAGATTGATTGCATATGGGAAATTTTACATTGTTTTTAACGAATCCAAAATTTTCAATGTTCTTATAACCCAGGAAACCTTGTGTAAAAAAAAAAAAAAGAAATTCAAGACCAATGGGAAGACATACATTTGCTACATGTAATTTGTAGCATATTTATCAATGACTTGCGTGATAGAAACAATGTCTAACTCCTTCTCGTATATGAATTAGGCTAGTTTTTCCTTAAAAGGTGTCAAGATCATCCTTGGGCCTTGGTAGATTCAGAGTACTAATGGTTCAAACTTGATTGCAAAGCAGCCAGGGGAACTCCAGAGGCTCTCAGAGGCCTGCCTTGTGTATCATGAAGGAGATCTTTACTGAGCTGAAATACACTTGAGGTGTCTATTATTGTTGAATATCCTTCCTCTGATAAGGCTAAGTACATCTCTTTTTTGTTAACTATGGTATGACTAAGAAGTATCTCATTTTGTTCTAAACTGAAACTAAGTTCCATGGCACTGGCCTGAGCCTGGCCCACTCCAGAACTTGAGTGAAAGAAATGGCAGAAAATATTATCTTTAAGGATATGCAAGAACAAGAAAGAAAGCAGACTGGTCATGTAGTGAGAATGTGAGAGAACAAGTGGACAAAAAACATTTTACCTGGGGAATTGCCAAAAAAAGAAAAAAAAAGAAAAAAGAAAAGAAAAAAAGAAAGAACTAGATGAAGGCTTCCAGGGCATCAAGTGGCTCTTCCATGAAGGATTAATGGAAAAAAATCAAAGAATTACAAAGGATAAGAAGATACTGTAACCTACATAGGTTGACATAGGATTACAGATGGAACTGAAAGGGACAAGATGAGGAAAACAAGACAGAAAGTTAAGAGACTTGACCATGAATAAGTAATACCACAGATTCCATTAAGTATCTAAATACACAGATTAAACTCCAAGAGCCATAAATATAGATTTAATTATAGCATTAATAAAATCACTATAACCTCAATTAATTAGAACGTTGAGGGATAAGATATTACACTCAAATGAATAGTCTTAACCAATAAATAAATCACTCTTCCTTAGACCATATTGAATCTTTAGAATTTTCATTCTCAACAGTAATGATCACTGCAAAGTACTAGAACATAGACAGTATAGAATACTGTTCCCTCAAAGCACCAGCCATCACCTCCTGATATGAAAAATAGCAACAGATATCGAGTCATCATTCTACCAAATTTTATTTATAAAATGAAAGCCTACATAAGTTCACTGAAATTTAATTTTATCTATATATTTCAACACTTTTATTATATCTAAATTCTTTATTATACCAGTAACAAATACCAAACTTTCACCAAAAACAATCCCATGTCCCCATTACCCTCAACAACAACAACAAAAAAAAGGCTGTTATTTTCCATAACTAAATTTGGGAACTGAATTAATGAAATCCTGGAAGACTCATAGGTATGCTGGCAACTATCATAGGAAAATTATAGAACACAGTCCCTTTGTAGAAACTGCCACGCAGTAAAGTCTATGTTAATAGCACTGTTAGACTGTCTGAAAAGACCATTTCTAGATGCCTAAATGTTTCCTGGATTATGGAAAAGTTATGCAATGACTCCTCATTTTAATAAGTGCCACATGTATAAAGTTGTTTCCTAATATGCTTTCCCCTGTAATTTAGTTTTCAGTTTGTGTATTTGCTCTTTAAATTAGTAATAAATTTGTTTTTTCAGAAAAGTTTGCAAATATATGAACTTCAGATGAACTGTTTTAAAAGTCTACATGCTTTGAGATAAAATAGTAATTTATACTAAATACACTAGATGTTATATTCTTCCTAATTAGTGTGCATTTTTCCACTGTTGACAACCTTTAAAAGAAAACATGTATTTTGGATGTGGGTCTTTAAGCACATTTATAGCTAGTTATTCCCTTTAACAGCACAGGAAAAGAAAGTTTTCCATATTTTATTCACATCTAATACTGTTAAATTAAGCTGAACTCTAATGCCCTAAAATGTGAAGGAAAAAAAATGCACCATCTGTCAAAGGAAATAAGATAGTAACATTGAGATTATTTACAGAAAATGATTTTGTGAAATGAACCACCCTTTGATGAAGTTTGTCACTTGAAAAAAAAATTGCAGAATAAGCCTTCTGTATATTTATCATGCCAGTGAACAGTGTTTACTTTGCCTAAAAGCAAAGTAAATATCACAAAACATACAATTAACTTTTTCATGTGATTTCAGCTTATGGCCACATAGTAAAAAATAATAAAGGTTCTATTGCTATAGTTAACAAAAAATACATACTTATTCACTTCATAATATTTTAAATTTTTTTGGTTAAGTACAGAGAAAATTTTTTTCTCATTTTTAGTTGCCTGAAAAAACACTGTGCTAGGGGAAGCAAGATGGCATGGGGGAAGCACCAGCCCTGAAGTCAAGAGAACCCAAGTTCAAATTCGGCCTCAGACACTTGACACTTACTAGCTCTTAACCTCATTGTCCAGCAAAAAAACAACAACAACAAAACCACCATTGTACCACAAGATCAGTAATGCTCATATATACATGTTGGTATGAATTGTAGCATTAGGGTTAGAAAAATTCATTCCTAAATTGCAACTTCTTTGGTGACACCTCCTGTTGAGTTTCTTAGCAGCCACAGCCAATGGGCAGCATTCTGTCACCTAAAGTACTTGAATGGCAGAATGGCAAAGAGGTGGGGATAGGGAATCAAGGTCACAGAGGCACTGATAAAGGCACTCTGTTGATGATCCTATAATCACTAATGCCATTAAATTCTGCTTAATCAAATTTAA